CTCTTATTATAATTATATTAAGAATTATATATGAATGACATTGGCTTGAACATAGATACACTTAAAAAAGTAAAGTATAAAAATACAATAAATAATAATAAATAAATGATCCTGGACAATTAACACAGCGCCATCTAGTCCCAAGGTAAGCAGAGCTTGGTACTAGGTAACTGATATAAATACTCAGATATTTTTTTTTGTAAATACATACATAATACAAATAAACAACCAGACCTATACAAACTATCATACTCATGAATACAACAGTTTGCACCGTAGGACAAAGCGAACCCGCGACCATCGGAAGTAAAGCGATATGCTAAACCGCTGGATCAGCAAGGCCGACAATAAACATTAGAAAGTAAAGTATAATAAACAGTAGAATATTATGAGTTGGCGACTACATTTAATTTGATTAATTCCCCATAAATGTACTTAGTAATAGCTTTTAGTACCACATGAACATTATCTATACAAAATTGGACATGACAAGATAAGATAGATCTACGTTCAATTAATTCTGTTGCCCATTCGATGTCGTATAAAGTTAAGTATACAAAAATGCAATAAAATTACGAGCGTCCTTCTTTCAAACCATGTAAATATATTGTATTTATTACAAGTCAAAATTTTCACGAGAGCGGCGCGAGCCGCGACATTAACGTATGAAATATTAAATTCATCACGTCTCAGTAATTTTACAGGGAATTTCACATTGAAAATACGCTAAATACCAAATCTGATTTATATACTGTTACAATATACCGGTTTTCGACATGATTTAATACAGAAAAAGGATGAACACACAATGGTTGAATTAAGATAGGCAGTTATAGAAACTTTTGAAATACTAGGCACATCTAGTGAGCATAGTGTTTCTATACTTTGGAAACGCATAATGGTATAAATATATACCGTTACGACTCAGGGTCAGAGACATTGTCAACGATATTGTGAAGAACGCAATATTTGATATTATTATTGACATTTCGCTGTATATTTGAATCTAAAGCGATTTTTTTGCGTTTCCTTCATTAGAAATTCAGTCAGTCAAAAATATAACATGACGTAGAACTTATTTTTATTTTGTGTCCGCTACATTTAAACTTACGATGTGTTGGATGTAATTGATAATAGTAAAGTTCAAGGTGAAATAGTAATAGTTATAATAATAATAACAAATAATATCTATGAAAATAACCTAGTTAAAATTTGCCAACGTCAAATGCTTGGTGTCAGGTATACAGGCTGATCAATCTTTTGACGGCATTCGGACCCGCATCCCTGAGTTAATTCGATTCCAATTACCACTACACCAACTCCAATTATCTTTTACTGGGATGAACACTATCCCTTTCAGTTTGTGATCAATCTATGATCATTTTCCATCCAATTAAGTAGATATTTAATTGACTTTAATACAAATGTCTATATTTACAAAATTTTATCTACCTATGAATTACAGGCGTTTTACCTTACAATAAAACGCTTATTAAACATACTTACCTTATTCGAAACCCAATAAAACATGAGAGTAGCATTTCCGTTTCCGCTTTCTGAGAATATAGTGCCTATCTCTTCTGACTAATATTTCTGTCCCTTTCTCTCTTTTCCCTACCACTGCCACCACCAGCGCCATCTAGCGAGCTAAGTTTAGAGGGAGCGATATTTTATTGTTCATTGGAGGCGAATGTTTTCCACCTGGCAGTATTTAAAAATATTGGGTTTCGAATAAGGTAAGTATGTTTAATAAGCGTTTTATTGTAAGGTAAAACGCCTGTATTAAACAACTTGACCGTTATTCGAAACCCAATAAAACATGAGAAGTGTCTGTTATCGCCTGGTGGTGGTATATGTAAACGCCAATGTGACTATGTATATATATATATATATATATATATATAAAGTTATACCTATTCATATAAAGTTACATTTCTTTAGATATATATATCTAAAGAAATGTAACTTTATATGAATAGGAATAAGAAACAATTGCAGGATCTAGGTGACCCAAAGTTCCAAGATTGAAGAATAAAATAAAAAATGATTTTATCATAGACATTTACTTAATGGAATTAACAATTACAACAAAATATTTATACTCATTTTAATTGATATAATCGAACCAAAATATAATCTTTCCAATCACTGCATTATTGTACTAAAATTTATTTATTTACTGGTCTGAATAAACGCGTAATCAACTGACTATTTCGTGATGAAATTATTTCTCGGCGGTAAAATTGTGTAAAGGTATTTTCTGATCGCCAGTTTCCTCGTGCAAGAATATCATCCATAGCAAAATTTTCTGCCCAGTTCTTAGAAGCTACAGCTGATCGGAAGCTTCCTGGGGTGGCGTCGATACCGGCTTTTTTCAGCAGCTTTTTTAGCCATCCCCCAATGACGGTGGTCGAAGCTGGTTTAGTTAATCTTGCTGTAGTAAGAAATAAATCGTTGTAATTAGTCGTATTTCTTCTTGTTGCCGAAAGCTTTATTAGTTGCTTTATCCAATGAACAGGATCCAGAGCCCTATTTTGTTGATTTGTCAGTAATTTCCAACCTGATTGTTGATAACTAACTGTATCCGTTTTGGAGCCATAGACGGGAATTAATATAACATCATCATCTGAAACTATGCAGTGTTCATTAGATATTCTTAACAATGTCAAATCATGAACGCGTCGTCCAGAGCATAGCAGCAAAATCGCTGCTGTTTGAGCAGATGTTTCATACAAGCTAATGGTATCAGGGTTCTGTTTCGCCAAGAAGTTGGTTAAGATATCGATATCCCATGTTGGAAGTTTAGTTGGTTTTGGTTTAGCTAAAGCTATTGCTTTTAATATTTGTTTCACAAGAAAGTGTGTGCTTAGTTTATCCCGCTTGTTTGGGCCGCAAAAAGTTGACACTACAGATTTGTGAACAAGTATAGTGCTATAGGCTAAGTTTTCTTTGTGATGTAGATCCGCTAGATATTTAGCCAAATCTGCACCTTGGTGTTTATTAAAGTCTATCTTATTAGCTTTTGACCATTTGAGCCATCTGTTCCATGCTGAGCGATACGTGTTTAGGGACGACGTGCGCCAACTAGAATTTAATAATGATATCTGTTCTTTCGTCCAGTCGTTGAGGTGTTGCGTCCACCCCCAAGTTTCCAGATCTCCAGACTCAGATCCTCTACATTTGGAGGTGGAAGGCCCGTAGAAACGTCGACTAGTATCTTGTTCAAATGTTTTATTGTGAACGGAGCTGCTAAGGCTCTGGATTTCAGATCTGGTCTGCCAGTACACTTTGTCCCACTTCGGTACTACCATAAGGTACAGTCCTCGAGCTCTGTTCAGATGTGTCAGGACTTTTGGGATGAGATAAGGAGGAGGAAATACCCATGCCAGAGGAAAGTCCCAATTCCGTCCCAATGCATTGTACATCTTCGCCTGACTGTCGTGTCTGTCGAGTGTGCAATAATTTTCTACGACATGAGCTGTCATTGACGCGAATAAATCTATTTGAGGTCTTCCCCATTTGGCAAAAACTATTTCTGTTAGTGCAGGCAATAGATGCCACTCTGGAGATACACGGTTCCGAGACAGTCGATCGGCGTCGCAGTTGTATCGCCCCGGTATATGATAGACTGTCATCTGAATATTGTGTTGATCCAATATTTGAAAAATATCGACCGTTATTTTCATCAAGGCTGATGACTTCGTCCCGCCTTCGTTGCGCAGATAGGACACAACTGTTTGATTGTCGCATTGTATCAGGAGACCGGTGTATCGAAGCTGATAGCCGTATTCGATTAGGACGTTCCGGACTAACATTTCTTTTTGATTGCAATGTAAATAAACCTGTTCTTTTGTCCAGGTCCCTGCTATACTTATTTCGTCTAATTTTGCACCCCATCTCGCATCGCTTGCATCCGTTGTTAGGTAATGCGAGGGAAGTTCGGTGTGAATGGGCGAACAATTGCAGCCACAGGGCTGCAATTGTTTTTCCACCATATTATTTCCATTAAGCTGTCTTGTGATAATGTAATTGTTCCCGTCTCGTCTAATTTCCAAAGCAGATTGAGTTGGGTTTGTAGGTGTCGGTAATTCAACCGACCCCTTGGTACCGCGAAGCTGGCAAAATTCAAGCTTCCGATCAATTTTTGAAGAGTCAAGATTGAAACTGTCTTTTTGGTTTCTGTTGCAGCCAATAGATTTCTTATTTTCGTGATTTGCCTGTCGGGTAAGTGTTTTATATTTAGTCGTGTGTTCCAATTGATTCCTAGAAACTCGACGGATTTTTGCGGATGGAGAATGCATTTGTCCTTGTTTACATACCACCCGAGTAGCTTTAATGTCTGTAGGGTTAATGCAATGTGCTTCTTTAAAGTTGCTGGATCCTGATGGGCAAGAAGAAAGTCGTCCAAATAAATCAACAGCCGTACTCCGTTTTCGCGTAAGTATTGACCTATCCAGTTTGTGACGGATGCAAATGTTCTCGGTGCTGAGCTTAGGCCAAACGGGAGGCAAGTCATTTCGTATAATTTTCCTTCGTACATCAAGCGGAGGAACCTTCTGTGACCCACTGAAACTGGTATGTGAAAATACGCTTGATGGATGTCTATTTTGGCTAAAAAATCTCGAGGTTGTAGAAAGTCCGGCACTCGAAACACGTTTATCAGTCTGAATTTGCCTGCGTGAACATACCGATTCAGATTTTTCAGATTGAAGATTGGACGGGGTGATCCGTCGCTTTTTAATCTCAGAAATATTGTGGAGATGAAGCTTGGTGAGTTTGGTACTGCTACAATTACACCTTGAGCCAATAATTTGTTTATGATGGCAGACATTTTGCTCGATGTTTGCGTAATGCAATCTTGGAGAGTTGGCATACAAAGTGGAGGCTTTTTCATGAAAGGAATGCCGTAACCTTTTATAATTTTTAAAACATGGGCAGGAGCACCGAGGTATTCCCATTGAAAAACGTGATGTTGTAGGCATCCGGCAAAAAAGGCATAGTCAGTATTTTCTTGGGTTGCTCCGATCCCGGTGGGATACTGGGGAGCGTGTTCGTTGCCCTCTATTGTGTGGTATCTCGCCTTGATGCCCACGGTAGGCAGTGCCTCTTCGGGACTGAAATGTGTATCTCCTTGATTTGGCTCCTCTATTAGCTGAGGTATTTTTTGTAGAGCTAAACTGCTTCACTGGTGGTTTTTGCGTTTGTATAGCGCGGTGGTCGCGATTGGAATAAGAATCGTTCTGCGGTGCAGAATTGCGATCCTTCTGATTGTTCCAGAAGATGCTCTTTGTACCTCCGGCCTTCTCTAGAACAGCGCTGAATTTTTCCGCTTCAAAGAGATTATCTATTGACGGCGGTATACGACGAAATGCGCTTTTATGAAAGGGATCTTTTACCGAGGCTAGGATCGTCTCTCTTCGTTGCTGAATTATTTCGGCCCTGTGACCGCAAACCAATTGTAATGCATCACTTGAGGCCTTCATATATTCTCCGTTGGAAAATATATTGTTGAGTTTCGAGTGTAGACTCATAATTAACGTTTTCGGTTTCGTGAACCCAGTTTAAGAATAAGTTTATCTCATTCTGTAACGCATCGCGCTGTTTCAATAGAGCATACGTTAAACCAGCAAATGCTCTTTCCATATTAGAGGCGGTCCGTGAAGTATCGTACCTGGTGATCTCGTCATTTGCTCGTAAGTTTACAAAGCCTGGTTGATGCACGTATTGTTTTTGCACATCCGCGTAACGAACATTCACCCATTCTTCGTTATTGAAACGCTGCAATAGCTTTAATTGTTCCACGTATGCAGGCGGTGCCTGTGGTACGTGAGGTTCCTTTGTTTTTGTTGTAAGCAATATGTTGAACTCTGTCCGGCTACCGTTGGTAAGCGCGGGTTCATTGGATATAGCTGTATCCGAAAGAGCGGTTGCACCAGTAAAGTTACCGCTGGATTCAGCATAATTGTCATCGCAATATAAATCTCCACTCACATTTGCGTCAATACCGTTATCACACTCGTTATGATAGATATTTTCTGCATTAGCAGTGTATGACTGGCTAACCTGTTGTTTAAGTTTAGAAATTTCGTTAAATAATTGATCGAACTTACGGTTTTTATTCTTCTTCCTTCGTTTTGTTTTGCGTGATTTCCGACCCTTACAATCACTGCATGACGAAGAAGAGCTCGAATCCTCTGATGAGGTGTTACTATCAGATGATTCAGATAATCTTTGTGTTTTTCTTTTATGTCTCGATTTACCATTCACAGGTGGTTCATTTGAAGCTTCTTCGTTACCTTTACTAGTGGATGGTATCGGATTATCCATTATAATATTTTATTTCGAACGGTAATACCGTTTAAGTCCCCTAGAAAAATAGATATATTAAATAAACCAAATTTACACAATTGTAATGATTAATACACCTAAACTAATAAAACTTGTGGGTAGGTACAGAATTGTAATAACCAGTACACGATTTACTGATTAATATATCTGAAATAAACCGTAACTGTGATTACAAAAATAATAATAAAATATGTGGGTAGATTCTTACTTATATTAAAGGTACACGATCCAATATTTCAACTGAGGCACTAACTGGAGTCGTCGAGCTATTAGTAGCTGCCGTCTGCACTCAACGGGAAACTTAACGCCAATGAACAATAAAATATCGCTCCCTCTAAACTTAGCTCGCTAGATGGCGCTGGTGGTGGCAGTGGTAGGGAAAAGAGAGAAAGGGACAGAAATATTAGTCAGAAGAGATAGGCACTATATTCTCAGAAAGCGGAAACGGAAATGCTACTCTCATGTTTTATTGGGTTTCGAATAACGGTCAAGTTGTTTAATAGTGATTCGCTCCGAATTTGCACGGGTTGAATTATTATACGTATTTCGAAGTTTTTATAATAAAATACCGATAATAATGTAGCTTCCTAAAGATTAAAGAAATTTAACAATTGGTTAACTATTTAATTGTGTTCAATTTATTGCAAACATCAAATAAAATCTTAAAAATGTATACAAGTACACAATATTAGACTAACGTTTGTTAACGATTTTCTCTAAATAAAATATATAGGAAGCGACCGCCTTCTATATATTCTCTTCTATAGAAGACTTTCTATAGACATTATCATTGCCTTTTTTATATATTTATAAGTTTTCCATGATTTTAGTTATTTTTATGATTTAGACATTAAATCAGGTAACTGGAATAATACCAGTGTTATTTACATAGTTAGAAGTAAAACATTGATAACTGAATAAATTTATGTGTTGGTAATTGAGTGTATCTACACAAAAGTAAACAACAACCACTGTAATTGCAGATCTACATTTCAGAGGTCTACTGCAATTTTGCAGTGAAAATAGTACTTGACATGCCCACATTGCTCTGATTATATTGTGTCTACACCTTGTTACTGGAAAATTGTTACCAAGTTGATCAAGAGTTTGGAATCATTTTTATTATAAATTTCACTAGGAACTACTCAATTCTACAATAAAAATTATCTAGTCGTTAAATTTTTAATATGAGAATTTTGTTTCATAACTGGTCTATTCTCACCTTTAAGTTGATCAAGAGTTTGGAATTCTTTTATTTTAGAATGAACTAGACTCAATTCTATAATAAAAATAACCGTTACTAAAGTATTTTGTATTATTGTAGTAAATTGCGATTTGCCAAGTACTTAATCAGCAATGGCAATTGATTTACCTGGCTATAAAGCAAAGGCATTGTACCCAACAATTTGCGGTAAACCACATAACGTCCAACTAGCAACACAATTGGTATTGTATACGTACCAACAAGAACATACATCTATAGCAGTCGCCTTAGTAAGTGTGCTATTCTGCATACATACGCTAAATTGCGAATTAATTTGCAGACATTCAGTACCCGCATTTTGCTTAGTGGTCTACAGTGAAATTATCGGTTTTGGGATGTGCTTCATAATTTGTTGGATCGTTTGTCCCAGTGCCAGTTCTGGGGTCCTTTGCCTACCCGAGATATTTTATTTCAAAATTATATAAGGACTTTGGCGTCATTCTTTTAATAGTTAATAGAGTTACATCTTATCGACTTATAAGATATACTTATATACATATCAACGTGAATATACTAGTTAAGTAGTTCGTAAATTAATTTTTATTTTCTATACATGATAATTTTTATCCAAGTATATTACGTTTCCATAAAAAAACAAATAGCGAAATCTCCTGTGCTAATATGATAGGTACTTTAGTCTCTAGGTACTCTAGCAGTTATCAGTGAAGAATGATAATTAAATCAAATACATATGAGGTAGTTTCTGACATAAGGGACAAGTCGCCAGGAATTGAACACAATAATTACTGTGTGGACTATTACGTAATGTATACTACCTGACATAGTGATAGTAATGGCACCAAGTATTTCCATTGTTATCAACTGCCTATAGAATAACATTAAGGCGTGCACTTCGAAAGCTGCTATTCTCTATGGCCTACACTCGTCACCAAAATCAGGGCAATATCGGAGCAGTGGTGAGCGGTATGAATTCGCTTTCTATATCGCTTCAAGTATAAAGAATAGCAATCTCTAGATCGATTTGTGTGTGCCAGCCGATGGAATTTTATCTGCACCACCCTTGCTCCGATATTTCTCATGATTTTAGTTTCGTGTGCAGGTCGTTTAAGTTGAAGACAATAAGGCAGCGCCGCTTGGCTAACAACATTACCTACGTAATGGCTTTCCACCGACGTAATTACGCTTCTACACTTTAGAGTAAGTACCCATCTTGCATCAATATATCCCAACTACGCATCTACATGTAAGGAGATACTTAAGATTGGGTGAACTAGCACTTAAAATAATTTAGTTCAAGGGTCTAAGGAGATTCGTGGCTACTTAGTACGAGACCTCTTTGTAATTGGATGTTGGCAACAGTGTATGACGTAGGGTTATGTATGGAACTAAGAGCTTCTTTAACTATGTCTATGTTGTACAATATACCATAACTTAAGTTCATCTATGTTTCAAATAGTATATGAGATAATGAAATAGATGCAGTGGTTCCAAATATAACGTTAATACACAAACTTAAAAGCATAGATTTCTCTAACCTAACTTTTTAGAGCCAGTTATCACAAAAATGATTTTGGAAATCTATTAAAGGTCATCCATTCTTTCAACAATTATTTTATTAGTATATAAAAGCTAAGATTCTTAAACATAAATAAATATTCTACTGTTATATTTTATACCCGTTCCGGTATCAGGTATGATATAAAAATCATCTTGCATTGTATCACAGAATTATTAGAATTCTCTTTTGAAAGATTACATTAAAATAATAACATCGTGCTTCCTTTTATTAATTCTGACGCGAAGCAAAGGAAACCGGGAACGTACTTTATTATTTTATAAAATAAACAAGTAAAATGAAAGCGTAATAAATTTTAAAACTTACAGCCTGTGAAACTTATCCTCATAATAATAGTGTAAAAGTGCGAGAATTACTCGCGTCTCGAGACTTCCGCTGCGCCATAGAGATTGTATAACAATTTTTTGTTTAACAAAGGTATTTGTCATCGTGCTAATATGTACTTATTATATAAATTACTAGTGATGGTAATAATTTAAATATGCGTGTACATTCTACTGATGGTTATCAAACGGTATATATAATAAATAAAGTATCTATAGTTCAATTACATATTTTATTGAATTAGTTAACAAAATTGCAGGCATATTAAAAGTTTTCACAAAGTTAATATTGCCCCCTTTGGAGGATATTTTTCTCAACTTTCTTTAGTTATAGACTAGTAAAAGTTGACTTTATTGGTTGACCCATATTTAGCTAAAACGGACAGTTTTCGAATCGTCACGATTTAACCATTTCATTATACATAGTAATAATTGTATATTAATAAATATATTATATGGGGGGAAGGGGATTGTTAGTAATGTGGACTAATGATCCCATGTACCGTGTCAGATCGACCTCCACGCGGTTTCCCCTGGAAACCATCGTGATTCCCGGTGAATTTGTCATGTTGGGTTAACTGATCTGTCTTCATGTTATCATCCTCCACTGGTGCCCCGCCAGCGTATACCGATAGCGCAGGTGGGAGCACCATTCCATTATCATCCTTTAAAAAAATATATTATATGTAAGGATAAAGATAAATTAGTCGTAAGTATTATTAGTGCCTGCTACCAAAATCTTGAGAAGTCTCTAAAAGCGGATTGAATAAATTGACTGAACATCAAAGCAAAATCATATTTAATGCAGTAAACGTTAACAGTAGATACGTTGTTTAATCTTCTTCTCAGCTGCGATGTGTGTTTATCTACTTAAATCATATCTCAGTAAATTCATGTGGGGCCTAATTTGGCGCGAATTTATGTTTATGGTTCGTTAAATCGGCAAAGATGAACGGTACAAAAACAGTGCATTATTATTCATAGTTATAAAACATATCTTGTATGTAATTTAGGAATGTAGTGTCTCAGATTATTTTACACTATATAATATGATATGAAACGAGGTACTAAAAGAACATTATAAAAGTGAGCTGGCAAAATCTTTTGTTTTAGTTAAGCTTTATTATTATTATAATGATAAGTATTGTTTAATACAAGGTACATATATGTATGTATTCTTATTATTTCTTATCTTTATAGGAACCGTACTGTAGAAAATATAAAATTATCAAAAACTAATGTCGTATACATGAATTATTTTTTTGGTATTGTATAGGTAATTCATTTTTAACGTAATAAGATATTATGCTAAGTGTTTATTGAAATAAAAATGGCATCGATTCGGCGTAAATCATATATTGATATTGATTAATTTTGATTGTGATCTTAGGAGTTTAATTATATTATTGCATTAATAAAAATCAATTATTAAATTAAATATTTTCTCATACCTATACCACATTTCTTTATATTTTAAGTATTTTGTGACCATGGATTTCCATTTACAGTCCAGATGTCTAATAAGTAAATAGGTACGTAGCAATTTAGCAATAATTAACATTTTACACCCCCGTTATTGTAATTGGACACGTTAAATCACGAGAAATGTGCACTTGAGTCGACACAGATTGCAAATTAACAGAATTTATTCGACCGTTTAAGTTCCCATCAAAATGGCGTATATCTCTACTTATACTAAGTTTCAGGAGTATACAGGTGACAGCAGATATTTTTAAACACATTATAAATACATATACATACATACATGAAAACTCATTGGACTCATATTTTACATTTTGCAAGTAGGTAAGCAAGCGCATAATTAATATTGTGTGAACTGTTACATTTTTTAATTATAAATGAGTTATAATGAAAAAATTAAGAGTTCATGAATTTGGCATATAGCTCTTTATATATATATCTTCGATAAAAATAAAATTTTACTTAAATTATTAGATTTTTTATTCTTTTTGAAGCCTTGTTAATCTAGTCTATATTTAAGATGAAGTGGTGACATATGTATTCAAACACCGTAAGTCACGTCGAAAAATATTTCAGTTTTTCAAGTCGACTAAACTTAACGTAATCGGCTTGCCTACTTCTCAACATTTCTCGCTCATCTTGAGTAGGGCCAAATTTCCTGGGAATACTTTGAGAAATCTCGACCAGACTATACTTACTGTGAATAGGAGTATGTAACTTATGTAAATTTCTTTTAGATAATTTAGGAATAGCATATACAGAAAATACGCAGGTTTACGATAGAGTTCTAGTAAGTTAGCAATATATAAGATAAATTGTATTATTAAAACAAGAGA